ATTAGCTTTGGTTGTGGGTTAGCTTCTGTTTGTAGATTAGCTTTGGTTGTGGATTATCTTCTGTTTGTAGATTAGCTTTGGTTTTTAAATTATCTTTGGTTGTGGATTCACTACTGTTTCGGATTATGTTTTGTTTTGGTTTGACTTCCATTGTGGATTAGCTTCTGTTTAATATTAGCCTCATGTTGTTTCTCATTTAGCATCTTTTGTATTCGTTGACCCCTCTGGGCCACCGTACCGGATCAGACGTGTGTGACATCAGTAAATAAAGTTCTCCAGCAAACAAACTGCACTTTGCTTCTGAAATTGATGCATAAATCCACAAGAGTCTCAAAGATTCACAAAAAAAGCCTCAAAAATCAGTTTAAAAAGCCTAGACTGGACTTTAGTTTCTCTTTGAGAGAATGAACCTGATTGGCCGGCGAGCAAATTCCTGCTTCCTGACCTCCCTCCTTTCCTTCCTTCCTTCCTTCCTTCCTCCCTCCTTTCCTTCCTTCCTTCCTTCCTTCCTTCCTTCCTTCCTTCCTTCCTTCCTTCCTTCCTTCCTTCCTTCCTGTTTCCTTCCGCCTTTCCTTCCTTCCTTCCTTCATTCCTTCCTTCCTCCCTTCCTTCATGTTTCCTTCTTCCTTTCCTTCTTTCCCTCCATCCTTCCTTCCTTTCCTCCATCCATCCTTCCTTCCTCCCTTCCTTCCTGTTTCCTTCCTCCTTTTCCTTCCTTCCTTCATTCCTCCTCCCTCCTTTCTTTCCTTCTATCCTTCCTTCCTCTCTTCTATCCTTCCTTCCTTCTATCTTTCCTTCTTCCTTCCTTCCTTCCATCCTTCCATCCTTCCTTCCTTCCCTCCATCCTTCCTTCATTCCTTCCTTCCTTACTTCCATCCTTCCTTCCATCCTTACTTCCTTCCTTCCCTCCATCCTTCCTTCCCCTTTTACTTGCTTCCTTCCTTCCTCCTTTCCTTCCTATTTCCTTCCTTCCTTCCTTGTTTCCTTCCTCCCTTCCTTCTTTCCTTCCTTCCTGTTTCCTTCCTTCCTTCCTTCCCTCCATCCTTCCTCCCTTCCTTCTTTCCTTCCTTCCTGTTTCCTTCTATCCTTCCTTCCTTCCCTCCATCCTTCCTCCCTTCCTTCCTTCCCTCCATCCTTCCTTCCTCCTTTCCTTCCCTTCTTCCTTCCTCGTTTCTTTCCTTCCTGTTTCCTTCTATCCTTCCTTCCTTCCCTCCTTCCTTCCTTCCTTCCTTCCTTCCTTCCTTCCTTCCTTCCTTCCTTCCTTCCTTCCTTCCTTCCTTCCTTCCTTCCTTCCTTCCCTCCTACTTTCCTTCCCATTATCCCTTCCTTCCTCCCTTCCTCCTTTCCTTCCTTCCTTCCTTCCTTCCTTCCTTCCCTCCCTCTATCCTTCCTTCCTCATTTCCTTCCTCCTTTCCTTCCTTCCTTCCTTCCTTCCTTTCTTCCTTCCTTCCTTCCTTCCTTCCTCCCTTCCTTCCTTCCTTGGCCGGCAGCTACTTCCGGTTGTTCCCGCCCCTTTCCGGTTGTTTCCGGCTGTCTCCGTTAGTTCCCGGCTGTTCCCGGTTGTTTCCGTTAGTCTCCGTTAGTTTCCGGTTATTTCCGTTAGTTTCCGTTACTTACCGGCGGCTGGGAGCCGATGGGCGGCAGCCTCTGTTCTCCCTCCATCCCGTCGGGGCGGATTCGGTGTTTTTCTCCCGGTCAGACTCGCTCCGCCGCTGCCTGCGCGCGCACGCCGCTCGCGGGGCTGCGCATGCTCTCTCCGCGCGCGCGCACGCGCCCCGGGCCTGCGCGTGCGTCCGTGCCCGGCGGGGTGCGGGTTCACATCCGGAGGGAAATCCGCCTTCGTCCCCGACAGGTGGGAGCCCCGCTGTGCGCGCGCGCGCGTTACGCACGCGCACGCGCAGACGTGTCCAGAAAAAGCCGCGCGTGACGTGACGCGTTCAGCCGCGAGCCGAGCGCGCGCGGCCGGTCCGTCCAGAAGAAAGTTTCAAATCCAGAAGATTCCCCCCAGACTGAAGACTGGAGGAGGAGAGAGAGAGAGAGAGAGAGAGAGAGAGAGAGAGAGAGAGAGAGAG